TGCCATGAATTTTGCATTTTATTTCGATTGTGGGGAAAAAAGAAAAGAAAGAAAACTCAAAATGACTATGCCTCTCGTCCAGAGATGAATAAACCATTCAGAGGTTATTCTGAAGGATAGCAGTGGCATTCCTTTGCAAAGAAATAGGCTTGTTGCATTTCAAGTGCCACGGAGAGCGAGATATGAGGAATGTGCCATGAATCATTTGCTGTTCAATTTTATTTAATTTTTTTTGTTTCGTTGAAAATAAAATTGGACATAATTATTTTTATAGATATCAGTCAGTGTGAATGATTTGGATAATTGAAATCGGAATAAATTATTGAAATAGGCGATGGAAAATCTTTCTTATAAGTAAAATACAAAGGAAAAGTGTGAGAAGAATTTAATATAAAATTGGATGTTTAAGGGGAAGGGAGGGGTCCATTTTTACAGCGAAAAGGTAAGGGGTATATAAAGTTTTTCAAATGGAGTTTTTGGAATGGTTGGTATTGGAAATGGAATATATCGATCCACCTTCAGGTATAGCCTCCATATAACGATAGCTGATGATTTTCGGTCTTACGGAGGTTTCTGCTCCAATTTTTAACCAAATCGTCTATAAATTAACATTTCGGGGGTTTGTGGGTAAATTGACTTTCCTCAAATAAATATTCATTTGAAAGAACTACAAAATTTGGGTTGGTAATGAACTTTGAGCATTAGCAACATTTTGATTGCCTCCTCCCATACCAAATACCCTAAATTTTCTAGCTCTGATCTACTTTGAAAACAATTCTTCACGATGTACAATTTTATAGAAATATGTTCGTTCTCAAAAGTATTGCTGAAATGTCCTCATTAATAGGTCAATATAACCAATTTTTTGGGAATAATTGTTAATCATAGTTGTTATCTTTAGGGGGGATGTACGAGTAGGAGTGAGCCGATAAATCCCACATTCGCATCAGATCTTTGATTGAGAATAATATGTAGATATGCCACTTTAAAAAAGAAACTCTTACTTGTTTTGAGCTTTGTGAGAGATATAAGTATTGCAAACTGTGAAACTCTTTGGGAGATTTACCAGAAGGGGTACACCGATATCTAACATTTTTACGCAGTAACTTGCGTTAGTAAAAATATTAGGATATGTGAAATTTGAAGAGTAGTTCTTCAAAAACTTAACCCATTGTGCGGGAGGTATTGGAAAAAGTGGTCCGAAATGTCTGGTTTTGCTTTGATAAAAATATTGGGATGTCTGAAATTTGAAGACAATCGGACTATTATTTTGCCTTTTATAATTATTCTAAATTGTAAACCTTTGTGGGGAACGTACTTGACCGAGCAATGACAAAAATATTGGCATTTGGAAAATTTGCACATAATCGATTGATCCTTTCTCTTTCTATGAGGTAAATTATTTTCTTTGGAAATTTTGGCCTTTTATGGGGGGATGTACCGAAAGGAATGGACCTATGTTGCCCATTTCCGAACTCAATCTAAGTTTGATAATAATATCACGATGTACCAAGTTTGAATCAAATCGCATACTCCCTTCGAGAGTTATTGTGCACACCCGCCAGACAGACGCACGGACGGACGGATGGACAACCCAAGATCTACTCCAAATATCCTGAAACGAATTTGGTCCAAAGAGACTTACAATCTAAAACCGTTATCTCGATGAGGCACATCTTGGCCGTATACCCTCTGTAGCCATATGACTGGGGGTATAAAAAGTCTTCAGAAAATACCTTAAAGTTGATGATACAGATTTCCTGTTACAATAAGTGTTACTTGATTCGAAAAATGAAAAAAAAAAAACAAGTTAAAAAGCAGTAAATTCGGCCGGGCCGAACTTTTAATACCCGCCACCATTTGTAACGAATTTGGAAATTTTTAAGAAATAAAATCCTTAAAAAATTCTGTTAAAATTTATAAATACCGAATATAGCCGTTATATTGGGGTCTATACGACGTGGACATACATAGGCATTGTTTGTCATAAGCCATTACCATATTCAAATTCGAAACTTGAAATAAACGGTTAATAATGTAGCTCAAATCATCAAAATATCGTATATAAGGAGGTGCCGTTAAATTGGAGCTGTGCGAAGACCTGGACCAGCATAGACAATTTTCTGTCACAGGATGTAGCATCTATTACGAACTTCAAATACCACATCTCAAACAACTTCGGTGGGTATTGTACCTAAAATCGTCAAAATACCGAATATAGGGAGGTACTGATATATGGGGCCTATACCAAGACCTGGACCCGCACAGACAATTTTCTGTCAGAGACTGTAGTTCCCATAACGAACTTCAAATACCAATTTTGAAACAATTCCGGTGAATAATGTCGGTAAAATCATTAAAATACCGAATATAGTGAGGTACCGTTATATGGTGGCTATATGAAGACGTGAACCTGCACAGACAATTTTCCGTCTTAGAGTGTAGTATCCATTTTGAACTTCAAATACCAAATTTGAAACAATTCCCGTGAATAATGTCGCTAAAATCATCAAAATATCGAATATAGAGAGGTACCGTTATATGGGGGCTATATGAAAACGTGGACCTACATGGCCCATTTACGAACTTAACCTGCCTACTGGAAAAATAAACATGTGTGCAAAATTTTAGCCATCTATCTCAATTCATTCGAAAGATAGCGTGATTACAACAGACAGACAGACAGACGGACAGACAGACGGACATCGCTAAATCGACTTAGAATTTTACGCTGATCAAGAATATATATACTTTGTTGGGTCTGATATGAGTATTTCGAGGAGTTACAAACGGAATGACAAAGTTAATATACCCTCCATAGTATGGTGGAGGGTATAAAAAATTATTTTAAAAAATGTGACTAACATCACCAATATTACCAAAATTCAAAGGTACCGCTATAAGGATGATTTAAGAAACCATATGTAGTTTCCAGCCGCCTTCTGCAACAGAAGACAGAACCTATTACAGACACTACAAACTTAATTTTAAACGATTCCCCTGAGAAATGTGGCTGAAATCCTCAGAATACCGAATAAATGGAGGTCCCAAAATACAGCGGCTATAGGAAAACGAAAACCTATGTGTGTAGAGAATGATCTGTCAAGGAGGTAGAACCTCCTCCCTTAGTAACGAATTTTAATTTTTTCGTTAGAAAATGTGACTTAAACTAACTGAAATTGTGGAATGTGACTTAAATCATCAAAATACTGAATATAAAGGGGTACAGTTATATGGCAGTGATACGTGATACAAACTAATCCTGCCTGCTAGCAAATTACAAATATGTGCAAAATGTTTGCATCCTAACCCAATAAGGACATACGGAAATGGTTTCGGAAATGTGTACTACAATTAGACGAATAGTACTACATTTGGTATTGGATGAAGGGACAGAGATAAAATTCTGAAATTTTATATTTAGATTTTGAGTTTATAACATGTGTCTTCTTTGCACATATGACAATATTTTTATTAACGCAAGGTGTGGTGTGAAGGTGGAATAAATCAGTCCAGACCTTTTGGTACGCATGTTTCAAATTTGGTATTTGAAGTTCGTAATGGATACTCAGGATGCGAGAGAAAATTGTCCGTGTAGATCCATGCCTTCGTATAGCCCCCATATAAGGGCACCTTCCGATATTCGGCATTTTGATGATTTTACCGACATTATTCACCGGAATTGTTTAGAATTTTGTATTTGAAGTTCGTAAAGGTTCACGCCTTCGTATAGCCCCCATATAACGGTATTTTGATGATTTTAGCGACATTAATAACCGATTTTTTTTTCAAATTTCGTATTTGAAGTTCGTAATGGATACTACAGCCTTTAACAGAATATTGTCTGGGCAGGTTCACGTTAGGGTAAGCCCCCATATAATTGTTTCGAATTTGAATATTGTAGATACCTATGTATGTCTAAGCCGTCGTATAGACATTCAGTATTTTTAAAATTTTAACCGAATTTTATTGGATTTTTTTTTTTTGGAAAATTGCCAATTCGTTTCATATTCAAAGCTAGACCCAGGCCGAACTTACAGTTTTTTTTACTTATTTTCAACTTGAAACTTGCTTGCGGACAGGAGTGCTCAAAGAGTAAGAGATTTATACGAAGTTTACTCACAAATTTACATGAGTGAGCTCACGAGTTACTTCTGCTTAAAAATAAGAGTGGGTGTCAAAATATTTGAAAAAGAGTAAGAATTTACTCTAAGAGTAAAATCGAGTGGAAAATGTTTATTTTGCTGATTTGTGTCTTCGTGTGTCGTAGCAAAACATTTTTGATATTGACGTTAGAGATACTCCCTACAGAGAACAAAGTTGATTGAGAAAATTCGCATAATTTCAACGGAACAAACACTAAAAGAGAACTCAGCAAGAGTAAAATCTACTCGCTTTCGAACGTAATTTACTCTCTCTCTATCTCGAAACCGAGTGAAGCATACTAGCTCTGATTTGAGTGGCATATAACTCTATTTTCATCCGTCACTTGATTAAAAGCGAGAATACTCGATTTATTTTTTTACTCTTAAGAGTGCTCTCACTCGATTTTGAGCGAATTTGACTCTCTATCCGAATTCGGGCGAGTTTTACTCTCAGCTCGAATTTGAGCGAGTATTTCGGAGCCGTATTCTATTGATCCTCAATGAATGATTTTGACAAGAAAGTTGAGATAGTTGACCTTCTCTTCATAATTATCATTAAAAGTATTATTTAATGTTTAATTCTGGATTTATATATTATCCCACGAACCTCTCTTCTGTTCTCTCCCTCTCTGTTAAATTCTGTCGCAAAAGGTCTTGTAGGAAATACTTTTCACAGGAAAATATATTGAATGCCCTTACTCTAAGTAGTTTTTTTTTAATTATGCAAAGATTAATTCTGGTATGTATTAATGCATAAAGCATATTCTTCTTCTCTATCCCTCTCTTACCCTCTCCACCTCTCTCTCTCTCTTTGTAATTATATTAAAAAATCTCTTATCTCTTTATCACACTTACCTCCTTTTCAATGTACTCTCGCACATTGGCGCTGCCCAAAGATGATGAATGTGTTGGAATATAACCAAAGGATTGTATGGCCGGTAGACGTCTTATGAGAAGAGGTCCTTTTAAGAAATTATTACCACCACTCGAATTGTTCGTGTGACCACCACCATTCACCTGTTGCTGATGCTGACCATACAGCAAAGACGATGAGGGTGAGGTGTTGTCCGGTTCAAAATGAAAGATGGTTGTTTGATCGCTACAATTCGATTGCGTCTCGTCCAGACAACGTTGTGAGGAAGAGGTTTGGGATGCAATTGTCTCCGAACTTAACCACACCGGACTGGAGGGTGTCTGCAAGACAAGCGGAGATGAGTGCGACTTTTTGGGTGGCAGTAAACGTGATGCTGGTGGTGATGTGGTGTTTTCGTAGGATATTTGACCGGGCGAAATGGGCGATTGAGAGATATTGGGGTTTATATTAAGGGGTGTGGGTCTGTGGGGGGAACTTGTATTTTCACTACGATTTTCGTTTTGATTTTCACTTAGATTTTCGTTATTTTCTTCTTGTGTTATATCTTTTTCTCTTGTTTGCTTTTGATATTCACTTGTTTGGGGGTTTAGAACTTCACTTTGTTTGGGGTTTGAAACTTCACTGTGCTGCTTGAGCGGATAATGATTTTCATATTTCTTTAGACTCGAGATCGTGGCATTTTCATGATTCTTTTGTAATTTTTCATTGATTTCATATTCATCTTCATTGACTTCGGTTAGTTCCGCGGTTATCGTATGTTTTGGAGTATAGGTAAATTTACGCGTCAGCGTGGGCGTTAACTTTATGGGTGTATAACTATAGGCCCTTTGGGGTATCGGAGAGTGTTCCCCTGTTTCCAGGGAGTTACGTCGCTGCTGGCCAACGGGAAGCTGTGAAATATACGAGGACTTTAAGCGTCCGTGATGATCATATCTTAGGGTACGTTTGGGACTTGATGGGGTGGCTACAGTGTAAGGTGGATTATAGCTAGGCAATGGATCGTTAGGATACCCCAGATGTGAACCATTTATGGGGGGTTCGTGAAAATGCTCTGGCGGAGCGTGGGAGTTTTGATATTCCACCTCTTTGTCCCGTGGGAGACTGCCCCGATTCCTATAACTCGGAAAACAATTCAAAAGTTCACAACGTTCCGGGGTCAGGGAACGTTCGGCATTGGCCCGCAAATTCTCCCGACTCAATGTCTGATTTATAACCGTATTTTGTTTCTCAAAACGCTGGAGTTTTTTATAGAACCTCTGCGGATCATAGGAGGAGCTCGATTCGTTGCTGCTATCCTCCGTCGGAGGTTTGGGTGGCACCGGTGGCGGACCGCTGGGATTTCTTGAGGATCTTAAACTTTGTCTCAAAAACAGTTGGCGAGCAAATGAACTGCCATCAACATCACTGCCATAGTTGCGCGGCAGCGAGGAGGAGAGTAGATCTTCCTGCTCTTTTTTCACCAAACTTGGGGGAATTTGCACTGGTTCGGTTACGGCAAAGGCCTGATAATATATCACTTTATCACTATGCGATTTATCGATGCTATAACAGCAATTATTGGTTTCACTATCCACTTCGTCAGCACTTCGTCTTAATTCACAACCGAATTCCCGTTCGATTTCGCGTTTTTCCGTTTCCCGATAATTTTGATTTTTGTTGTTGTAATTATTATTATTATTATTGTTGTTGTTGTGGTTAGTATAAAGTTCGTGATGTTGATTCGTCAGGTAATCGCTATTCTTCTCTCGACTCCTATTGTCATAATTTTTCACACACGACGTAGATGGCGACGTTACCGAATTCGACGACGACAATGATTGCGACAATTTCGTTTGCCTTACTCTTCGTCGCTGGGCGGCATCATCGTCAAGGCTAGGCGAACAATAATTTTTCGAATTCCGAATTTCCAAATCTTCATCCGTTACAAAACGATACGACGACAATTCAGAGACTGTTTCCGTATCGGATGGCTGGTACATGGCCGAGTAGGATGAGGTGTGTTTCAGAGCCAACTCATTTTGGCCATCATTTTTACGCTCACAGCAATGCTCACAGCGTAGAAATCCACCACTGCCGCCGCCGCCGCCATGGGGCCGTGGTGGTGGATTTTGAGATTTCGTATTGAAATTTCCTCTCATTTTGGTTGCATCGAACCTGTTGCTGGACGGAGATGTTTGATTGTTGGATGGTGGCGCCGTAGGCACCACAACAATGTTGGCACACATGGCTGCCTTGTTGTTATTGTTGTTGTTGTGGGCCGGATTTGTTGTTGTTCCATTGTCATAATATCCTGCCTGATTCACCACCATGGAATTATTATGAGGATCACTACTGCCACCACCACCACCATGGGCCAACGATCTGGGGGAGGGGTTACAAAAAGCCCCACCGGCAGCGACAAAACGACATGGATAATTTACTGGACTTTGGTGTTCTGTCGCCCTCAGCTGGTCATATGTCAACGGCATGTGGTTGTCGTCGTTGTCGCCTAACACCCCAGGTTGCAGCCGTTCGTCATGCAGTAACCTATAGTTGGATGCAGCCAATATGGGCCGCCTTAGCTGGGACAGATTTGGTGTGGCCGGCAATGAGATGGATTTTTTGCCTGACAACGTTGTTGTTGTTGTTGTTGTTGCTGGTGTTGTTAGTGGGGCTATTTCGGTACGGCTGGCAATATAGTCTTCTCTATTTTTAGCTACATTTAGTAATCCCCAATCATCCGGAGGAGCACCGTCATCATCATCATCATCAGCACCATAATTATAAGTAGAGAACAAGCCAGTCAGTCAGCCAGCCAAATGCGTGTGCACCATCAACGTCATTCCCCACGAATATGGAAAATCAAAATCGAAAAAAAATGCAATGGAAAAATATATGTCCCATTTTCGGTACCGAAACACAACAGAATTCAAACGAGACATCAAAGATTTTGGTGATGATGATCATCATCATTAAAAGACATTTTTTTTGGGTGCCGTTGTTGTTTATTTGATTTGTTGTGGAAATGTCAAGGCAAGGTAGCGTCGGGTATGCGGTGGGAAACGTGTGCCATGGAAAACGCGTCATGATGGCAATTTTTCAAAAGATTTTCAAAAAACAGCAACAGCAGCAGCCAGCAGCGGATGACATCCAGAGCAGCCCCATGTTCAATGCGTTCAATGAAAAGAGAAGAAGGAGAAAAAACTTGAGATTAGAAGAAATGAAAGAAATATTGTGAAATAAAAGTATAGAAATAAAATGGAATGAAATAATGGAGAATAGGGTCGAATATTGAATACACTCTTTAGAAAAAAAATATAACCCGGAATATCCGAAATTTTCACATATGTAAAACATTGTAATGAGGACATTCGAGATCTCCTTCCAGCAATATTTTTTATAAGGAAAATTACTGAAATATCTTTTCTGTATACCTCTTAAGGGGCTCTTATTAGAAAATGACATTTTCAAAAATTAAATATTGAAAAGACCCCTCCATCAATATGGAGTACAATTTTCAGATGGCTTTTTTTCTGAGAATTGATCTTTGGAGAGTCTTATTTTTTTCTGTAAAATCCTCTGAAAATTTTTTAAAAAAGAAGGGCCTAACTCAAAAAAGGCGTATTTTGAGTTAGCAATTTCCTTTTTTCTACGAATCTTTGTCAAATCTAAGGTTGATATTCAAGAACTCAAGGAGTTACAGCCCATTTCAAATAGATAATGTTAAAAAGATTTTTACGCAAGTGAATTTTTCCAGATGTGACGCTCATGGAGAAGACCTTCAAAAAACTCTTCTTTCAAAGGACTTCAGCTAGACTAAAACCTATCAGAGAACAAACTTCACGACTTATATATGGTGAAAGCCTTTCACATGTGTTCGTTATAAAAAAATTACCCTTTAGAGGTCATCTAAAAACGTAGAACTTTCGAGGACTTCTATAAGAGTAATATTTTCAGAGGTATTCTATAAAAAGAAGACATCTCTGAAAGAAAATATGCGAAGAAAATCTGATAAAAGACCTTCTATACGAAGAAGGTCCTTTTGAGGTCTCTTATAGATGTGTACTATTACGAGAAGACTTCTTAAATGTCTTCTGTAGCGAGAATAATTTTTAAACGTTCTTTATAGTGAGAATTCCTTATAAAGAGAGTCTATGAAGAAAAGAAAATTTAACGGTATTTTATAGAGAGAAGACCCTTTAAAATTTTCTATAGAGAGAAGACTCTTTAAAAAGACGTAAATAGAGAGTTTTCATTACAGGTCTCCCCAAGACCGCTTTCGGATTATTTCGGGATACAGTTCATTATCTATAGAGTGGGGGACTACATAAAATATAAAGGCATAGCCCAGTCAACAAACTATACCCCGAAGTAATGCGAAGCGGTCCCGGGATTTTTTTACCCCTAAAAAACCAAAGAAGGTCTCCTCTAGAAAGAAGTTAAAAAGACCTTCTATATAAAGAAGGCTCACTAAAGACCTCATGGGGAGGAATGGCCTTGGCCTTTAAAGGCTATAGAGAGAAGTCCTCATAATTATGTATATAAGGAAAAGACCTTTTAAAGATATCGCATTAAAAGAATATCTTCGACAGGTCTTCTATAGAAAGAATATATTAAAAAAAATCTTAGTTAGAAAAGAGTATTCTTTAAAAAAAAAACTTTAAATGGTCTTCTAAAAAATGCCTTTAAAGGGTTTTTATAGCAAGAAGATCCACAAAAGTTCTTTTATAGAATCCAGTTTTCCGTAGAAAGAAGAACTTTAAAAGTTCTTCAACAGGTCTACTTTACAAAGAATACTTTCAAGCAGTGTTCCTTGAATAAAGGACCTTGAAATGGACTTCTAAAACACGAAGAACTTCAAAATATCTTCTTAAGAAAAATATCTTTAAAAGGTTCTCTTAGGAAATAAACTCTTCAAAAGGTCTTGTACAAAAGAGTAACTAGAACTGTCCTAAAGAAGAATATCCTTTTTAATAGAATAGATTTATAGACGCAAGATAATTTTCACGGCATTAAGTTCAAGGAATGTCCTGCTGTAAGTATTCTATAAAGAGAAAAATAATATTCTTAGATGTCTTCAATGGACAAAATACCTTTTGAAATCTGCTCCAACCGGAAGACCCATTATGGAATATTCTATACAGATTCATCTTTCTAAAGGAGTTTTATATAGAGAAAATAATTTGTATTAGTGTCTCATAGGAATACAACTTTTTTACAAGTAGGAAGAATGAAGTTTTTGAAGATAATCTATAAACAAAAGTCTCTTTAAAGCTTTTCCATAGGCAGAAAATCTGTTCTACGTCTCCTACAGAGAGAAGACCCTTTACAGGTCTTCCAGCGGCAGAAGGTTTTTGAATCTAGTAGTCTTTAACATTTAGTTGTCCCTTTGAAAGCCCTCAAAAGAGCGAACAATTTTTGAAGGATTTCAGGAGAAAGATAATCATTTTAGATTCTTATGCAGACATAAGACCTTTTGGCTAGACAGAACACCTTGAAAGGATCAACAGGCTATGTAGGTAAAGGGGAACTCTTATTGAGTGAACTTCTCTTAACAGATGACCTATTTAAGATCCTCTTGTTTATAGAAAGCACCGTAAAGGTATTTTATCTATAGAGGGCGAATAAGAGATCTTCACTTTTTAGAGGACTTCTTATAGATCTTATATTTATTGAGGCCTATTATAAGACCCTATTTTAATCTTAAACGACCTCAAAGATCATCTCGAAGAATTTTCCTGTCTGTAGATACCCTCGTAAGGTATTTGTCTGCAGATGGTCACTTAGAGATCTGCTATTCATAGAGGACTGCCCATAGACTGCCTCATAAAGAACTAGTTTATCTTTTGATAAAGAACACAAAGGTCTTTTCTATCAAAGGGAAATAAGGATAGCATTCCTTTTTTTTAATGAATTTGGGGTATAAGGATAATATTCATGGAAATATTAGCAACGAAACATCCCTAATGTTACTAAAAGAACTCCAGGAGGATATTAATGAATTATATTTCCTGAACATTCTGAGCATTATTCGCGATTTTTTAAGGAATTTTATTTGCATACTCTCTGAATAATAAACAAATATTTAAAATAACCTATAGGGCACTAAGTGTTCCTGGATCTTTTTTAAGAATTTTTATTCAAAGGCCTTTTGTAAAATGTTATTTTGATTGAAGAGTCTCTAAGGTCTTAAGTGCAGAAACTTTATAGAGGTACTCAATTAAAAACTCAATTTCAAGCAATATTCGATGACGTTTTATTCGAAGTTCTTCAATGCAAAATTTGTTTTTTTTTTTAAATTAAATATTTCAATTTAGGAGCCTTCTAGTAATTTTCGAGACTATTTTTAGGGGTCTTCAGGGCAGTATTTGTGAATTTGATTTTTTTATTACTCATAAAATAATCGTCCACTTTAAAGAAGTTTTACTAGAGAACCTTTGTTTGTTTTATTCATGTTATGGCATCAGGGCTCGATAAATTTTCGAAGCCTCCAAAGGGTCTCAGTTCAATATTCCTGAAATTTCTAATAGTATTTATAAGAGTACCTATACTGTAATTTTTGTGAATCTCTACGAATTTTAAAAGATAACCCTCAGAAATACATACAATATACAGGGTGAGATAAAACATCAGCAACCAACTTCAGACTGCTGCCTCTCGTCCGACAGCTATTAAAATTATTCCAGTGACAGCTCACTATATTGTTTACAAGCGTACAAAAGCATTTTGGTGAGAATTTTCCAGAAAAAAATCATACGTGATGGAATTCAAGCGTGATTGGGTGATTTCCTTACATTTGGCTGGAAAACCACAAGTGGCTATCGTAAGAGCACTCCAGCATTTAAATGTGAATAAATCTTTTGTGCCTCATACCATCGCTCGTTACCGTGATACCGTGGTAGCGTAGCCTGACGTCGAGGAAGAGGACGTAAGAAAACAGCAACATCAGCACAAATGGTTCGAAAAGTAAAGAAGCGATTTGATAGAAACCCACTTCGCAGTGGCCGAAAAATGACTCGTGAGCTGAACATATCGCAATATTCCATTAGGCAAATATTGAAAAATGAGCTCCGGATAAAGCCATTGAAATTCCAAAAAGTGCAAGAACTTACACCGCAACAGAAAGAAATCAGATTCAAAAGAGCTAAAAAGTTGATTCGCTTGGCCGAAATTGGTGAACTGCCGGATTTGGTTTTCTCCGATGAGAAAACATTCGTTGTCCAGCAGTTTGTAAACAACAAAATGACCGTGTTTAGTTGCCAAAGAGGTCAGCTGAAAATGTGCACCTTCAGTTGGCCACCAGAACTCCACACCGGCCATGGTGATGGTGTGGGCCACCATAACAGCCGATGGTCGCTCTCCGCTCGTATTAAATATTGCGAAAATATTCTGGAGGGTGTATTAAAGCCTTGGGCACGCAAACATTTTGGCCGCGGACCTTGGAAATTCCAACAGAACTCAGCACCATGAGGTTCCTCGCTTCATTTTCAGCGCACAATGGCCATCAAATTCTCCGGATACCAATCCGTTGGACTATTGTGTCTGGAGCTTTTTGGAAAGCAAGTTTGGCATTAAAAATATCAAAGTGTCGATCACCTCAAGCAAGCGCTTCGCCGGGAAATTGGCCAAAATACCGCAGAGCAATATTCGGGCAGCGTGTGACGGTTTTATTGGCCGTTTGAAGACCATAATTCGTGCCAAAGGCGACCAATTGGAACAAATCTAAACTTATTCTAAAATTTGATGCTATTTCCGACAGTTTTTGCTTTCATTCAATAAATTTACAAAAAAATTTAAAAATTATGGCGCTTGACTTTGTTGCAGTTTTTTTATCTCACCCTGTATTTGTAAAAATTAAAATATTTGTGGATTTTTTTTAATTTTTTATTGAAAACCCTACGATCAACATTCGTGCGTTTAAAATATATATGCTGCGCAATATTTGTGTTTTTTTAAGAATATTTAATGGAAAACCTACAGGCCATTTAAAAGTCCCAAGCCTATAAAAGAACTTAGGATAATACATGCGTTTTCTATAATTTTTTCAAATTAATTTTCAGGTTTCCTTTATAAAACCCTCAAATATATTTTTTGTTAGGCCGTTTGTCTCCCCAGTAAATTGATGTAGGGTACCAAAACGCACAAGTTTTGTTAAGCTCGGAAATAAATTTCTCCCCACCCCAAAACTATTTGACTAAATAAAACAACGACAACAACAAAAATTCAGAGGCACACGACAAATGTCCCTCCAAACGAAAAAAAAAAAAATTAAAAAGAGTTCGTTTAGTTTTTGGTTTTTCTCAGATGGCTTGCTCGCTGGCAGGCTGGTGGATTGCTGCTCCCCAAAACAATTTAATTTTAAATTATGACCCATATTTAGGCGAAAAAACAAGAAGCGGAGAGTCGGAAAATTCATGTAGCCATAAAAATAAAAACCACTAATGTCTTTTTGTGTAGCAGCATCGGTGGCAGCAGCCACGTCTTGTTTTCGGGCGTTTTTGTTTTTCTCGCAATCATGTTTATTATTATTATTTTTTGGTCTTTCTCTCTATCTCCTTTAGTGCCTGCTTTCTTTCGCGTCCACACACACTCACGCACATACACAAAATTCTGATTATGCAGAAATGAAACATATCTCGGATTTTAATTCTAAGAATTATTTTCAAATTTTTATTTATTTTGGTTAAAGTTAAAGTGTTTTTCGCTTTTTTTTTTTGTTTTGTTTTGGTCCGCTATTACTCAAAAATCTATTTATGTTGTTGGCTGAGAGAGTGTGTGGTGGGTATTAATTTATGGCTAATTTTAATTAATTACTTTTATGTTTTGGCTTGGTTTTTTTAGTTTTTTTTTTCAAATAGGCTTTCTCATTTTTTTTGTTTATAAAAAAAGTTAAGTATTTTTCGTATGATTTGAATGCTAATCATAATAAACATGCACTTTTAGCTTGGGAATTCCTATCTTTTGTATGCATTCCTCTTTTTTTGTTCGGAAAGGGAGGTATAATTAAAGCCACAGAGAAATAAATCATTAGCTGGCCGAACGACCACTTAATGTAATTCTTTTAATCACCATTGACCATTACAAATTGTCAGCAATATTTCAGAATTTTAAAGAAATAAACAAGTAAATTCGGCCAGGCCGAACTTTTAATACCCTCCACCATTTGGAAGGAATTTAAAAAATTTCAAAATATTACGTAGAAAAAAACTTCCTTCATAAGTAATTTTTTTGTCATAGGCTGTAGTATCCATTGCGAACTTCAAATGCGAAATTTGAAACAATTCTAGTAAATAATACCGCTAAAATCACCAAAATACCGAATATCGGGAGGTACCTTATATGGGGGCTATACGAAGACGTAGACCTGCACAGACAATTTTCTGTCATAGGCTGTAGTATCCATTACGAACTTCAAATACCAAATTTGAAACAATTCCGGTGAAAAATGTCGCTAAAATCATCAAAATACCGAATATCGGGAGGTACCGTCATATGAGGGCTATACGAAGACCTGGACCTTAACAGACAATTTTCTGTCATAGGCTGTTGTATCCATTACTGAAGTTCAAATACCAAATTTGAAACATTTATGGTAAATAATACCACTAAAATCACCAAAATATCGAATATCGAGAGGTACCGTTACATGGGGGTTCTACGAAGACGTGGACCTGCGCTGACAATTTTCTGTCATAGGCTGTAGTATTCATTACGAATTTTAAATACCAACTTTGGAACAATTTCAGTGAATAGTGTCGCTTGAATCACCAAAAATAGTGAAAATAGGGAGGTACCATTATATGGGAGCTACATCAAAACGTGGACCTACATGGCCCATTTTCAACACTAAAAATCCTGCAGACATAATATACATTTGAGTAAAATTTTATCAACCTACTTTATTTTGTTCGGAAGCTAGAGTGATTTCCACAGACGAACTGACGGACGGACTTCCCTAAACCGACATCGAATTTTATGCTGATCAAGAAAAGAAATACTTTGTGGGGTTGTAAAATGTATATTTTGAGGTGTTACATACGGAATGGCAAACTATGGTGGAGGGTACTATGATGGAGGGTATAAAAAGGCCTATGAAAATTCGGGAATCTATAGCGGATCGTGAATGTTATCCTTTATATAAAAGACGTAAGGCAGAGTTTTTGAAAATCCCTCCTAAAAGGGTACGAAAAGTACTAAAATGTACAAAAAATGTATACTTTGTATTGGACAAACAGAATGAGCTAAAGGTCTACAATTCATATATGACTCCCATTCATAGAAGACTTCGTAGATGCATTCTCATCGTTACGGATTTCGTGGTGGTTTTCTATTCATAGAGGACTTCGTTAAGACTTTCTGTTTATAAAGAACCTCATAAAGGCTTTGTATTCATAGAGAACCTTACAGAGGTCTTCTATTCATAGAGGACCATTAAGAGATATTTTATTCGAATTGGTTTTTGGTTCGTCCAGATTCCCGTGCAGTTTTTCTATTTATAGATGATTTCGTGGAGGTGTTCTATCCATAGAGGGGCCTTATCTTCATAAAGGATGTCGTGGAGGTATTCTATTTTTAGGTAGAGATCATCTACATGAGATGAAAAAACTGCAACCAACTTCAGACTGCTGTCATTTCTAAGCCACTCATCCGACAGCTGTTAAAATTATTCCAGTGACAGCTCATTATATTTTTTATAAGCGTACAAAAGCATTTTGGTGAGAATTTTCCAGAAGCAAAGTTATTCGTGATGGAATTCAAGCGTGATAGTGTGTTTTCTTTATATTTAGCTGGAAAACCTCAAGTGGCTATCGTTAGAGCACTCCAGCATTTAAATGTGAATAAATCTTTTGTGTCTCGTACCATCGCTCGTTACCGTGATACCGTGGTAACGTAGCCCGACGTCAAGGAAGTGAACGGAAGAAAACAGCAACATCAGCAGAAGTGGTTCGAAAATAAAGAAGTGACTTGATCGAAACCCGCGTCGCAGTGGTCGAAAAATGGCTCGTGAGCTGAACATATCGAAGTATTCCATTCGGCAAATATTAAATTATGAGCTCGGGGTGAAGTCATTGCAATTCCAAAAAGTGCAAAAAGTGCTCAAAAGAGCTGAAGAGTTGCTTTGCTTGGCCGAAAATGGTGAACTGCCGAATTTGGTTTTCTCCGATGAGAAAACATTCGTTGTCCAGCAGTTTGTAAACAAGCAAAATGATCGTGTTTACTTGCCAAAGAGGTCAGCTGAAAATATGCACCTTCTGTTGGCCACCAGAACTCAAGCACCGGCCATGGTGATGATGTGGGCCGCCATAACAGCAGACAGCTGATGGTCGCTCTCCGCTCGTATTAATCGACCATGGCATCAGCATAAATGCCAAATATTATCGCTAAAATATTCTGGAGGTGTATTAAAGCTTTGGGCACTCAAAAATTTTGATCGCAGACCTTGGACAATCCAACATGGCCTCAGCAGCAGCACGCGCCAACCTAAAAATGGTTACAAAATGAGGTTCCTCGCTTCATTTCCAGCGCACAATGGCCACCAAAATCTGCGGATACCAATCCAGGACTATTATGTCTCTGAAGTATTTTGGAAAGCAAGGTTGGCACTAAAAAATGCCACAGTGTCGATCACCTCAAGCAAGCGCTTCGAAGGGAATGTGCCAAAATACCGCAGGGCAACATTCGGGCAGCGTGTGACGGTTCCATTGGCCATTTGAAGGCCATAATTCGTGCCAAAGGTGACCAATTCGAACAAATCTAAACTTATTCTAAAATTTGATGCTATTTCCGACATTTTTTGCTTTCATTCAATAAAATTAAAAAATGTGTAAAAATTATGCCGTTTGACTTTGTTGCAGTTTTTTTATCTCATCTGATTCTTGCTTAACTTCACACCCTTCAATATTTCTACAAACAAAACATCTGGTGTGGAGATGATAGATAGCGGACCACTCCTACTGGTACCTCCCCCACAAATGAATTACAATTTTAAATAAGCAAAACGCTCATAAAATGCGAAATAGGCACCCTATTCTCTTCTAATTTCACACTTTCTAATAGTTCTGCTTACATAAGAACTGGTGTAAAGATAGTAGATATTGGCCCACTCTTTCTGGTACCTCCCCCACAAATTCTCAAATTTTTATTAACAATTATTCCATGAAATTGGAAAAAATGTTTGATTTTGTTTAAATTATGCACATCCGAATATTTTTATAAATATTTTTTTTCGGCTTTTTTGGAACAATTTTTTTTTAAATTCTTCAAAAAAAAAATAAATTCCTTTTCCGTTTTCCCATACCCACCTGATGCATGTGAACTTTGGCGTATGATTTGGCGTCGCTTCAAATGCCAACAGGAAGATCTCGGCTCCGATGAAGAGGACGATGATGAACAACAACAATAACTGCAATTCTGCGTTGAGGACTTCAAACTGCTAACATCATTTTGTGATGATCTCCGATGATCATTTAGACATTCGTCATTTGAATATAGATCACCATTTTGTCGTTCATTCAGGGGTATATAGGTGACATCAATGGAATTGGATCTACAATAAAGGAAGGGGGAGAAAGGGGTCATACATTAGATTATTTAAAAATTTAAAAATCAATTGATTTAAATGTTAAAAAATGATGTGAACTCAAGTGTAAAGGCTTGTCTGTAAAGCCTTTGGCTGTTAAATTGAAAAGGCCTAAAAGTATGCTTTAGTTTTTGCTTATTTGCTATTAGTAATGTGAGCGAGACGATTAAATTATAGCAAATTGCCATAATGGGTTATTGCCTGTCTTTAAAAGCATATAAACCTTGTGAAACAGGTGTGTGGCAGAGGTGGGCTAGATGGGGGCCAGGGTAGGGCCTTCTGAATATTTTTAATAAGTTTTTTTTCATTTTAGTCGGAAAAAGTGCACATTATTTAAATATGGTTTTAATAGAATAGCTGCAGTTATTGGTCATGGCTGGTAGCATTTTTTTGTTTTGCTTGCAGATTGTACGATAAATCGCATATTCAAGGTTATAATTATGATTTTTATCACACAAAAATATTTAAAAATTAAAAACAATTAATAATTATTAAATAAACATCAACATGCATTCTTAATTAATATTTACAGCCAGGTATTGCAAAATTAATCGCAGCTAATGGCTGTTGGTCACGTTTTATTAGTGTTTTTTGTTTTGTTGTTGTTTTTATAATCTTTCCTCTGCTTGCCATTTGCACATCAATTGATTGCTGGGTGGTTAGCTGTTAACTTAAATTCTAATAGCTAAGCAAATTCTGTGCTCTCTCTGAAGTCCATTCACCTGTTCCACTTGGGTTTGGGTATTTTACTGTCCGCACTGTGCAGGGCACGTGTATGGGCCACTGTCGTTGCCAATTGTTGTTGCTGATGATGGTCATCATTTGGTCCATTACGTTTCGGATTGGCCTCCGGCATTCTTGGCTGGCTAGTTATTTAATGTCATTCGGACGGGAGGGGTATTGGCTGCTGCTGCTGGCACTCGTGGGTGGTTTAATGTTTTCTCGTGTTCTTTTGAATTGTTTTTATATATGTGTGTGTGTGTGTTTGTATGTGAATGCATTCGAAACTATAAAAATGAGAATGGAATGAAATGAATATATACATACAGATATGTAATTAAAATAAACATCTTTATTTTATCTCTCAATTAATAGTAAATGATGTGCGAAAAAGTTCGCGATTAGATTCTATTGTGGGGAGGCTAAAAATAGAGAAATAGTTTAAAATACACTCATCGGAATACATAAGAAATTTGGGAGGAGAAAGGTCATTTGTGGTCGAAAAAGATCCATGGGAACATTTGGAAAAAAATCGTTAATCTAGGAAGCTTTTAAAAGGAATGGTGTGTAAAATTTCCGATAGATAGATATCCGTAATATGTATTTACAAACTGCCTAGCAAAGACACAAACCACACACATTTTACTCGAACCCAAAAAGGGGTTAAAATGGAAGGAGAGTAATCGGGAGGCACTTAATAGTCCAGATAAGACGACTTTAAAAGGGAAATCTGTAGTAAAAGGTCTATTCGATAGATGTCAATTAAGATTAAATGTTTCAGTTGATCTAGCAAAGATACAAACCACCCGAATATTATCCGTGTCCAGAAAGGGTAAGAGAGAGAAAGAGAGTTAAAGAGAGACAGAAAAGGTAAGTAAGAGAGAGAAAGGGTAAGAGAGAAAAGGGTATTAAGAGAGATAAAATGTAAGAGAGAGAGAGAGAGAGAAGAGTTAAAATAGAGAGAAAGGGAAAGAGGAAAGTTTGATCGTAAGGTATGGCATTTTAAAATATAGATTAACTTAATGGTTGATTAAGATGGACATAATCATTAAAAAGTTACACAACATCAAGGGTTAATCAAAGGGCAAATATCCAGACAAGGTAAAAAGATCGGCAGGGATAGTTATGTTAATTAAAAACAAGTAAAAAAGTATCGGTCGGTTTTGCCGACAGATGTATACCCTCAGCCCTTTTCACCCTCTATGGAGTGGGTTTTGAAAGAATCGTTCAATATTATCCATTTCGTATCCCACCTAAATAAATTATAGTAGATGGATATATCAATTGTAAAGAATCCCTGAGTTGCTTCGCAATTTATGATATATGAAAATATTGAAAATTGTGTCCCTTTGTGGGTGAGGTGCCAGAAGGTGTTCGAAGATATAAGCATCTTCACAACAGATCTGGTGTTAGCAAAAATTATTGTATGTGTGAAATTTGAAGAGAGTTGGATCCTTATTTCGCTTTCTTTGAGTGTTATATTTTTAAAAATTAGATTATTGCTTCCCTTCCTGTGCAGATAATATATATTTCTAAAATTTCGACCATTTGTGGGGGAGGTACCAGAAGAATCGGACCGATATACCCCATCTTAACACCAGACCTTGACTAATAAAATGATTGGGATGGGTGAAATTTGAAGACAATCGAACTCTTAAATCACATTTTATGAGAGTTGTAATTATTCAAAATTTTGACCATTTGTGGGGAAGGTACTTGAAGGAGTGAACCGATATTGTCCATTTTCGGACCAGACCTAGCACTGAAGCAAATATTAGGATTTGCAAAGTTGGACTAAAATCGGATCATCGTTTCTCTTTTTGTGCAAAAAATATATGATTTGCAAATTTCGACCTTTTGTGGGGAGGTACCAGAAGGAGTGGACCGATATTGTCCATTTTTACACCTAACGTAAAACTGATGCAAATATTAGGTTTTGCAAAGTTGGAGCAAAATCGGATTATCCCTTCTCTTTCTGTGCAAAAAATATATATTTTGCAAATTTCGACCTTTTGTGGGGGAGGTACCAGAAGGAGTGGACCGATATTGCTCGTCTTAACACCAGACCTTGGGTTAACATAAATATTGGGATGTGTGAAATTTGAAGACAATCGGACTTGTACATCACATTTTATGAGAGTTGTAATTATTCAAAATTTTGACCATTTGTGGGGGAGGTGCTTGATGGAGTGGACCGATATTGTCCATTTTCACACCTGACCTAGCACTGATGCAAATATTAGGATTTGCAAAATTTGGAACAAAATCGGATTTTCCCTTCTCTTTCTGTGCAAAGAATAAATTTTTTGCAAATTTCGACCTTTTGTGGGGGAGGTACCAGAAGGAGTGGCCCGATATTGCCCATCTTCGAACTCGATCTAAGTTTGACAAAAATATTACGATGTACCAAGTTTGGACCAAATCGGATACACCCTTCGAGAGTTATCGTGCGCACCAGCCAGCCAGACAGACAGACAGACAGACAGACGGACGGACGGACATCGCTAGATCGACTCCAAATGTTCTGAAATGGATTTGGTCCAAAGAGACCTAGGGTCTAAAACCGTTATTTCGACTAGGCACGTTTTGACCGTATCAAATGATATATACCCTCTGTAGCCATATGGCTGAGGGTATAACAAGTTAGCCGACTGGTACGGCTTTGCCCACAGATGTATATCCTCAGCCAATGTTCGATTATTTACAAAAATTTTGACTTCTGTTCTGATTTTTCAAATTTCTCCCTCATCTATGGCGTAGGTTCCGAAGGAATGGGCCAATATTTTCCATTTCGTATCGGGCGTAAATAAATGTCATAAAAAATTTCTTATTTCGCTTTCTGTGAGCGTTTTGTTTTGCAAAATCTTGAAGTTTACGTGGGGGAAGTACCGGAAGTAGTGGTCCGGTCTCTACCACCTCTATAATAGATCTTTTCTTGATGGAAATATTGAGATGTAACACGTTTGAATGGAATCGGATATTAATTTTGCGTTTTGTGAGTTTCGTGGATATTCAAAATTTTGACGCTTTGTGAGGTAGGTGCCAGAAGGAGAGGACCGATATGTCCCATCTCCCAAAACAAGTGGTCCGATCTCTACCACCTCTATAACAGATCTTTTGTTGATGGAGATATTGAAATGTGGCAAGTTTGAATGAGATCGGATATTAATTTCGCGAGTTATAATTATTCAAAATTTTGATCCCTTGTTGGGGATATACCAGAAGGAGCCCACCGACATATCCCATCTTCACAGCAGATCTAGTGTTAATAGAAATAATGATATGTGTGAAATTTCCAGAGAATCGGATGCTTATTTCGGCATTTATGATCGTTTTGGTTATTCGAATTTTTGACCCTTTGTGGGGGAGGTACCAGAAGGAATGGTCCAATCTTCACCAGCTTTATATCAGGTCTTGTGTTGATAGAAATATTAAGATGTGCCAAGTTTGAATGGAATCGAATGTTATGTTCACGTATTACGAGTCTCATGAATATTCAAAATGTTGACCCTTTGTGGGGGAGGTACCAGAAGAAGTGGGCCAATATATTCCATCTTCACACCAGACCATCTTCACCAGCAGATCTAATGTTAATAGAAATAATGATATGTGTGAAATTTCCAGAGAATCGGATGCTTATTTCAAATTTTGTGATCGTTTTGGTAACTCAAAACTTTGACCCTTTGTGGGGAAGGTGCAGAAGTAATGGTCCAATCTTCACCATCTTTATATCAGATCTTGTGTTGATAGATATATTAAGATGTGCCAAGTTTGAATGGCATCGGATGTAAGGTTCGCGTTTTATGAGCTTCATGAATATTCAAAAAAATGACTTGTGAGTTGAACATATCGCAATATTCCATTTGGCAAATATTAAAAAATGAGCTCAGGGTAAAGCCATTGAAATTCCAAAAAGTACAAGAACTTACATCGCAACAGAAAAAAAATAGACTCAAAAGAGCTGAAGAGTTGCTACTGCTTCGCTTGGCCGAAAGTGGTGATTTCTCCGATGTGGAAACATTCGTTGTCCAGCAGTTTGTAAAGAAACAAAGTGCTCGTGTTTACTTGCCAAAGAGGTCAGCTGAAAATGTGCACCTTCGGTTGGCCACCAGAACTCAAGCGCCGGCCATTGTGTGGGCCGTCATAACAGTCGATGGTTGCTCTCCGCTTGTATTAATCGACCGTGGCATCAAAATAAATGCCGAATATTATCGCGAAAATATTCTGAAGGGTGTATTAAAGCCATGGGCACGCAAACATTTTGGCCACAGACCCCGGACATTCCAACAGGACTGTAGCACCATCGCACTCAGCATGCGCCACCCAAGAATGGTTCCAAAATGAGGTTCCTCGCTTCATTTCCAGGGCACAATGGCCACCAAAATCTCCAAAATATCATTCCTTTGGACCATTGTGTCTGGAGTATTTTGGAAAGCAAGGTTGGCACTAAAAAATACCAAAGTGTCGATCACCTCAAGCAAGCGCTTCGCCGGGAATGGGCCAAAATACCGCAGAGCAACTTTCGGACAGCGTGTGACGATGTCATTGACCGTTTGAAGGCCATAATTCGTGCAAAAGTTGATCAATTCGAACAAATCTAAACTTATTCTAAAATTTTATCCGACATTTTTTGCTTTCATTCAATAAAATTGAAAAAATGTAAAAAACAAGGCGTTGTTATTTTTTATCTCATCCTGTATAGTGCGAATTTCCATAAACGCTTCGGTACGTATATCATACACTCCATCAGTGACCGTCACTCCAAATTTAAGCTCTACAGCTTCCTCAAATACAAAGGGTACCATATTAAGTACCTTTTAATAGTTTTCGTACCGTTCTAGTACGAATTTCCAAAAACCCAACCTTATCTGACCCTTTCGAAACAAGAATGACCCTCACTTAAAATTTCAAGGTTCTAGCTTCAGCCGTTTCGTCTGGACGCTGATGAATCTTTAAGTCATTAATTTAGATTGTTATCACATATGTTAAGTGCATTAAGTTTAAAATTAAATGTTTAAAAAATCCAACATTTTCGGAATTTCCAAAATTCCCCTATAGGAATTCTCCCCCAATCCAGTGGCCCATATCTCATAATTTTTCCAAAATTTTCACACCCTACAATTTCCTTTTGTAATAATTCATAATATGTCTTTTGTTCTTGTTTGTGTAAATTAACTTGTTAAACAATAGAGAAAGACAACAATAACAACAACAACAGCAACAACAAAGTTTTGTAAATGACCTTTACCAGATATTTTTCAATTCGTTGG